TATTGAAGAGGTAACAGAGTGAAATGTTCTGTATACATCTCTGTAATTAAAGGAGTTCGGAGATGTCTATTTATATGGGTATCGTATTTAAGTAGCCATGCATTTTTTGTCTAATCTCTAATATTTCTATCAAAATGTGCTTGGTTTCCTCAATATTTCTTTCGATAAAAATACAATTTTAATTTCCCAGGGCTATTTGAGGCACTGTGTTACGGCAGCCATAGTGGCTATATCAACAAAAACATCACATGATTCATGATTATGAAAACACTGTTTTTGCATCAATGATATAAGTTGTACTTAAAATATTTTGGTAATGGATTAATTTAATAGAAAGTACATATTTACAATGTAAAAATAGTTTTATAAGTTGCTAGGTTTCAACATATTAGCAACCACAGAAAGTTACCTTGTCTATTAAATATGCTTCTCCTTCCTAAGTTTGTGTCTTGGTCGTGTACAGGTAGTGTTTTGAACATGCTGACTGTCACATCTGGAAAGTCCAGCAGTGATTTGACTTACTTAGATGTGTTATGCGTGACAATACGATAACGCCGTCTCAGATAGTCGTTTAGAAAAGTATCCTCATGCATACATCAATGTCAACAATGTTCAAACGTGTCTATTTATATCTAAAAAGAGTCATTTTTATTATTCGGATTTAGCTCCATCATCATCATCATCATCATCATCATCATGACTATATTTCATACGTAATACATGATTGCCAGTGATCCACTTAATACATTTTAAATGCACTACTTTAAGGATTTGCATTTGTTTAATTGTGTGATTTATTATTACAATAAAACCCACTCATCCTTTCACATACCCATCTTATCCAGCGTCCTTGAAGAATTTCTTAATTTTCTACCTTTACATGCCATAAAGGTCGTTAATTTACTGATGCCGATTATGGTTAATGCTTTGTAAATGACACGTTTATGTATTATTATCATTTATCATGCTGAATAATTTCTAATATATACCTTGGTTTTCTTATTTATTCTAATACGATTTCCCTCCACATTGCACTGATACAGTTGATTATAACCAATGTACTGAATACAGGGATATTTTGAAACTGAAACATTCCAAAATAGGACCTTAAATATTCCCCACCTTCATCTATCTTATTTTCATAGATCTAAAGTATAACACGACAGCACGTGTTTTACAATCACTTCATATATGCCATAGCTAACGCTTGCACTCTGTTGAAACAGTTAAATAAGCAAAAAGAGGAGATATATCTGATTAGGAACACCCGTAAAAAACTATAAGACCGGGCATGCGTACTAAATAGTATGAATGTTAAAGCTAAGGTGTCCCTTATACAGACACTTGACCTTATTATCTCTACGGCAGAAGAATCCGCATTACCTGATCGAGGACACTTATAGCTCAGTCGGTTATATCTTCAGGTGAAAACTGCGGTAGATGTTCCTACACACCCTACCAGCGGTGGCTTGTGTTTCTCAGGAAGTTGTGATGTAGCACAAGCTACTTAAAGGAGATCCACCTCAAAATGTTCTTGAATGTTCACAGGACGAAAAACATAGCAACTTCATGCTCGAGGATTGATAAAATAGTTAACCAAAGCAAGGCCTCTTGCTCATCTTTTAACATATTATTCTCTGATTGAAACACGTCTGCTCAAATTATAGGAAGTTGAGGCAGTAATGATGTGGTGAACCAAATTATTTACATTGCTCTGAATAAAATACAATACTCTAAAACTGTCCTTTAATGCATGTTTCTGTATATGCCAATACATCTGGTTATAGGTTGCAACGTTTTTTAATGGTACATTTTGACATTTTAATATGAAAAATGTCTCCGAGAGGGCAAATCTGGGCAAACTTGTTTTCACCTTCTATACACTATCAAGGAAAGGTAAGAAAAACGCATCCTGAACCAAATTGATTTTATTCATTTTTTAAAATGTATTTTTAAGAAATGACTGGAACATAATATGGTGCATACAATATTTGATATTCACGTCCAAGACACACTCTACTTGTACATTTACAATAAAATACCCCAGTGAACTAATGGTAATAAGAATAGTAGCAATATCTCACCCAGTATCTAATCTGTGATCGCACTTATCAATATCATTATCGTAATAATCTTATCCGTTATTACAATTGTCTAATGCACCATTAGTTTTATTGATATGATTATCGTTATAATATGATCATGATCGCTTTCAATGATATTAATTTTGCTATTATTTTTTTCATTATTTTTAATGATATTTTTTATGATCAAGTCCGTGATCACCTGTTTTAACAGTAATATCTTTATAACTCCTGGTAATTGCTTCGGAGTGTCACACTATATAGCTGTAGATACAGTACTATTAATTATCATACTTAGTACTAACACTCGGAATGTCACACTATATATCTGTAGATACAGTATTATTAATTATCATACTTAGCACTAACACTCAGTGTGTCACACTTCATATCTGTAGAAACAGTACTATCAATTATCATACTTAGTATAACACTCGGAGTGTCACAATATATACATTAGATACAGTACTATCAATTATCATACTTAGTAATAACACTCGGAGTGTCACACTATATATCTATGGAAACAGTACTATTAATTATCACACTTAGTACTAACACTCGGAGTGTCACACTGTATATCTATGGAAACAGTACTATTAATTATCACACTTAGTAATAACACTAGATGGAAACAGTACTATTAATTATCATACTTAGCACTAACACTCGGTGTGTCACAATATATACTATACGTTAGATACAGTACTGGCAATCCAGCGTTTCCAAACAAGTCAATCAACACTAGCGCCATTCTCCTGTACTTTATTTGATGATTTTCCAAGTCCCTTCACCTCCTGATAAGTCACTATCAATTGACTCTGAGTGATACCAGTGAACGACACTTTTGTTGATACCTAAACGTGTCTGCCGTTTTCACTCGATGGTTTGCTTATGCTTTTGAGTGCAATAAAAAAAATCGTGACAGCTATACTTCAAGAAATAATGATACTTTGTTAAAATTCCCGGAAAACAAACAGAAAAGTAATGAATGATCTGTAACAAAATTTCAGTTCTACAACACCTGCAATCTTACAAAAAAAACAATGATATGTTAATATAATCATAATACAAAATCAAATAAAACTAGGGTAAAATATGAACAAAGAAAATATTGACACGGAGACCCTTGAAAAATAAGTATAAAAAAAAATTAACTATGTGTTCCCTAAGCGTTTTCTGCTTCATCGGCGACATCTGTCTTGTAAACCTTGGTAAATCAAAATTATTAATGTCACGTTCTTAATGGAGATCATGATATACGACAACAAAACCAAAAGCCAAATTAACGAGCATCAAACACGTCAAGCTTCATATCGCACCAAGAACTAGAATATTTCTCAATGCGATCACTATGGAAACCAATAATATTTATCAAATTGCATCTAATGAAACTCTGTGTAACGAGTTTGTCCGTCAATTGAAGACTTCCTGCACGGGAATCATGATTATATGATATTAAGTCAGTGACTCGTCGTACACAGATTTAGTCTTCAGAAGAATGGGCATAGTATTGACAAACGGATATACAGCTATTACTAGTAAACTGTAACTAAATATAGCTATAAAGACGATCGGTTATAATTGTTAAATATCATGGCTTGACGTCAGTAAGACAATGTCAATGGCATCTAGTTATACATGCAGATATATCTATCATGTCTCATTTTTAGATATGCAGCTATTTGCTATCAACGACTATCGTATACACATTTACCCATTTAGGCCTCCAGAATCGGAATAAAGAACACGCCAAATTATACTTCATTAGCCACTAACCTCGATATTTCCCTGCTATGAGATTGCTGGCCAATAAACCTTTTCTATTTTTCATTTATTTTAAAAGAAAACCCTGACCTTTTTATTTGCATTTCACACTTATATTTCCGTATTAACGCAACAAATCTAAATTTTAAATCTAAACATGCAAAAGATAAAGAAACAAAAAATATACAAAAATACCGATTAGATTTATCTACTATGATACAAACAAGAAGTTTTTAATTTCTAATCACAATGTTCTTTTTCTCACGCTTCCTACCCTCTCCGAAAGTTGACGTCATCTATGATTGTCCATGCCTTATATGATTATATTTGAAACTTCTACATTCTCTAAGTCCATTTCACTAGGTACAACTCTTCCGATGGTTGCATTCCCCGTTTTTTCGAGCAGACTTATAAGTTTTTTACGTCCTCAAGCGCTAATGATGCATTTCGATAACGCAAAATGTTAAAAGATTACTATAACACAGTCCCAATTTCTTTCTGAAAAAAATTACATCACGAATAAGTGCTGAACGAATGTACGGGTAAACTGTAGCCAAGTGTCTATTTTAAGATGAACTAACATATACAGCATAGACCACGTTAGCAGTCACAAGTAGCACAAAGAACGACACCAGGAATACTCGGTCCATCAACACACCAAACTCCCTTTTCGTTACCGTAGTCAAGGTAATTGTTTCTTCATCCTTTAATTCCATCGCTCCGTCGCTCTTAACTGCATCATTGTTACATGGAATTGAATTAATATCATCTCCAAATTTGTTCTTTCTTTTCTTGGCTTCAAAATGTTTTCGAGGGTAAGTGATTTTTGAAAGCCACATCGGGATTCGCTCTTCATTTTCTGCCAAATGGAATCTAAGTCCAATTGTAGTGAAGAAGAGAATAAGTGCACTGTATGTGACATTACAGATAAGGTACTGGGTGAAGATCGACACTGGATTTGTGACAGGGAGTTTCTCTGATATCAACGTCATGTACACAGAAAACGAGAGAAACATGGTGACGGAGAAGGACACTCTCTCCCCGGAATGTGGGGGTAGAAGGAATACTGCTAAGTTAATGAAGCACAGGAGGACAATGGTGTCAGAAGGTTAACAATGATGAACTCCGGTTTTCGTTGAAAGATAACTCCAAAAGCGATCGTACTCGTTATGTAGGAGGTTTCATTACATGTATAGAAACCATTTACTCTCCACTGTGAGACATCTTCAATAGTAGACAGATTACTTAAACTGACCGGAAGCAACACCAGTTCGTTTAAATAATCCGGAGATGTAAGTTTTATAGTACAGTTATGACGATCAAACGGATAGTAACTCATATCGGGTCGACAGGATGTGCTTGTCATCACTGTATCAGATATTATATGTTGTCCTGTGTAACCACCACGAACATTGCCTTCCAAAAAAATTGTCTTCGTCTTGGTATTTCCGGATGGGTTGTTCAGAATAAGGAATGGGTTCCACACTTGACCACTTTCAAACGTCACATAAAATACTTTGGAAGTTGACATGTTCCATCGCATTATTTCATTAGTCCATGTCGCAGTAAAAGTGGAAGTGCTCACAAGATCTCCTGATATTTCATGAAAAGCATTAATAGAATGAAAAGTCCATGTAACAGAAACATAAATTGGGTAATACTGGTTCCAAACAGGACGGAGATGTTTGCTGTAGTTCTGAAGAAGTTGATTGTGGAATTCTCTAGCAGATTTAAATGTCAGGACAGTGAATTCCAAACCAGATGTGATATGGCAAATGATATTCAGAAGAAATAAAGTGTTGATATCCATATCCTCCAACCGAATAGAATTCTGCTCAGCAACACGATAACGTGTTTGAATGTCATGGGGGTGTTACTTTATAGAATATCTGAATATCTCTGTTATTGCCAGTGGATCATATCTTAATTCATATTGGCCAAAGCTATTATGGAGAATGACAACGTGATATAGGTATATCAACAAATAATCGATCGCCCGTATTTTGTACTGTGACTATATACAATAATACGTGAATAATAAAAGCGCATTTTGAAGCGAACTGATATATCAATAAAGAGTAGGCTATTTGTTAACATACCAATTAGGATTTATATTTCACTAATGGAGTTTTGTTGAAACTGTCCAGAAAATTGACTGACCATAGCCATTCTTCCATGTGATCTGATAAAGGTAAACTCTATATACATATAACGGTGATTCTTTAAGTGCTGGACACAATAATGATTGATTCATAAACTTCAGTGCGTAACGATTGTGAAGCCATTCCTATCTTAATTCCACTGATGTTGTTGTATTGTTCTGTGTTCTGGGTAGTCCTTACATTCATCAATCAGAGCGTAGCTCTGGCCATTGCACCCAACGAAGTGGAATTTCCAAATGACAAGAATTTGATAATTAAAAGCAGTGTTTATTCCTTTCAATAAAAAGTAACCATATTGTCCAACAATTATTGAAAGTAGGTATATACATTTACGTATGTAATGATTTATATTAACTTTGAAAATAGATACTCTGACTGTGCTAATAGCCAGTTATCAAACTGTAAACGTCGTCACGGTTGTCAGCAATGATCAAACTGTAAACGTCGTCACGGTTGTCAACAGTGATCAAACTGTAAACGTCGTCACGGTCGTCAGCAGTAATCAAACTGTAAACGTCGTCACGGTTGTCAACAGTGATCAAACTGTAAACGTCGTCACAGTTGTCAGCAGTATCAAACTGTAAACGTCGTCAAGATCTTCAACAGTGATCAAACTGTAAACGTCGTCACGGTCGTCAACAGTAATCAAACTGTAAACGTCGACACTATCTTAAACAGTGATCAAATTGCTAAAGTTGTCACGATCTTCAGCAGTGATCAAACTGTTAAAGTTGTCACGGTAGTCAACAGTTATAAAACTGTAAACGTCGTCACGGTTGTCAGCAGTAATCAAAATGTTAACGTCGTCACGATCTCCAAAAGTGATCAAACTGTAAACATTTTTTGGTATTTATCCACCCCATTATAGCAATTCAGTAAGTTTTCCAAATAAGAGATGCTGTGCCATTTACCTCCATTTAATTTCATATTTTCCAGATTGCTACTGAGTTTGACAGTTATCCGGCTCATCTTTTTGCCGGAAATCTTACATTACGTTGTTTTTGTTTGGTTTTGTTTTTTTGTTTTTTGTTTTTTTTTTTGTTTGTTTGTTTTTCGTTTTGTTTTTCGTTTTGTTTTTTTTATTCATTAAATAAGTTGTTGTTTAAGTGCATGTGAATTTTCAGTCATCACCTCTCAAGCTTAGGACATAAAGACCAAGAATATGTCGCATGTAATAAATTTCAAAATACAAAGTTGTTAAGATTTGTTTCTGTCGGATACCGCGATATGATAATCCAGCCAACCTAGAGCCGTCAAATATACTGTATAAGAAGCCACTCGGTAGTTTAAAATTCACCTGGTTAGCCCTTTGAAAGGACAAAATGAAACCTAAGCCAAAGATTTAAGCTGGTGAGAAAAGATTTATTTAATGTGTATTTTGACGAAAAAGGCTTGACACATTTACTCAATTGTCATGCAAATATCCCCCCTGATATAGTTAGCATTCTAACAGCAAGTAAGGCCGGGCTGTAAAGCTTCCTAACCAGGATTATGCAGTCACGATGTTTCAAAAATGACATAGAACAAATTTAGTATATGAACTAGTAGCTAGTTTAATTAGGAACTGTCAATTACAGAGTTGTGTGCTCCTTATTCCGTCTTTTCGTAATGGAGGTTATCTGCTTGTGTGACCAGGTGTTAATTGTTACTTCATTCATTCATGTTATTTTCTCGCGTAGACTAATACAGAAACAACAAATACACACTCCCAAGAGCAGATAACTCTTTATTACGAAAAACTCTTAATGATAGTACTTGAATTAACACTGGAACTTTATTGCATTCTGTCCGAATGCTATAAGGTCGATGTTAATGCCTCTTTTCTTTACCCATGATACGTAAATATTACTTAAGTTTGCATTTAACTCGACATTATTTAGGTTTTACGTTTATCTCCTTGCATGCTGGAAAGGTGTGTATCTTCAAGCATAGTAAAAAGGTGTGTATCTCTATGCATGGCATAAAGGTGTGTATCTTCAAGCAAGGTAGAAATGTGTTTATTCTCAAGCAATGTAGAAATGTATCTATCGTCAAGCAAGGTAGAAATGCGGAAAAGTGTGTTGAGAATGAGAAATATCCTGTTTGGAAACCATAGACAAATTGTAGATATAGTACGTAGAGTATTTACGTAACATAATAAATACCTAATAGTGATCGCTGAGTATGGGCTACTAAGTGAAGTGTAGTGAAAGCTCTGGTAAAGTTCGAGGTGAAATAGTATAATAGAAATGCCTTATTAAATCATGTGTATGAAACTAACCCAGAACAACAATAAATATTTCAATTTCTACCCAAATCAGACTCAATGAAACTACTTCAACATTTAATAACCGTAACTTTACGTTTCAAAAAATGTGAAGCGACTGATGCCTGATATTTCTTGTTCTCCGCTTCGGTGCCTGTAAAACAATGGCCGACATCGCTTCGTTTGCGAGCCGGCGCACCACGTCTAGACGTTATTATTTCGCAAAAAAATGCATACTGTCTTTGTTGCACAGTATTATCTAAATTTTCATTAAAGTTGTCGAAAAAATATATTAAATAATGTTCTTATTTAAGTTTCATTGAATATGAAGTAACCACGCTGAAATATATTTCAACCTGTCACAATAATCTGTCTTCAAATGACGGACTATTTGCTTGTATCACGTCAAACGATATGATGACAAGAAACGAAACGAAAGTTTCCATGCTATAGCAAAAGAGATGCGTGAATTGAAATATAAGGGTTGAATCTTGCTTGTGTCGATTTCATGGGATGATGAATTGAATTGGTCTTGAGATAAATTTAATGAACTGCAAAGCAGTTCATGTTGAATTTGTCTCAAGACCAACTCAATTCATCATCCCATTAAATCGACATAAACAAGATTCAATCCTTAAATGAACAACAGAATGTTGTGATATCGTGGTAATGTAAGCAGGTAGTGTTTAAGACATTTTTTTTATCAGAAGAAGTGACATATTGGAGATGAATAGCAGTACCAGGTTAACCGTAGTGAAGTGTCTTGATAAGATGGTGTAATATACACAGCATTGAATGTATTCATCGTATTTGTATTGGATGAACAGCAATACCAGGCTAACCGTTGTTAAATGTATTTTGGAAATGATGTGACATAATAAGCACAGCTTACAATTGCAGTCATCAGAAGTACAAGGAAGGACAATAGCAACACTCTGTCCATCGGCCCACCTTACTCACTTTGCGTTACCGTAGTTAATGGATCTGTCCTCAACCTTAAAATCAAACCTTAAAATCACCCGATTTCTGCTGTTTCATTGATAAACGATTTTTGTGAATTCCACATAGGGATTCGCTCTTCATTCTCTGCCATATGAAATTTCTGTCTAACTATAATAGAGAAGACAATAAATGCATTATACACAACATAACAGATGAGGTCCTGGGTAAAGATTGACACTGGATTTGTGACAGGGAGTTTCTCTAATATCAACGTCATGTATACAGAAAACGAGAGAAACAACCTATATTTATAAATATTGACACGCGCTTCCCAGAGCAAGACAATCGGTGTCGAAGGCTCGTTATGATGACCTCATTGAAAGATCATTCTAAAGGCAGGTTATCACTGTAAAAGGAACAAGCTAGTATTTTCATTAGCAGCACCTCGAACTTTACCGTCCAAAACTCTATCTTCATTGTGGTATTTCTGATTGCGTTGTTTAGCGTAAGCAATTGATTTCACACTTGTTCAGTCAAACGTCACATAAAAGACTTTGTTAGCGAACACATTGCAGCGCATAAACTGATCAATCTATGTAATAGTAAAATATGATGGGGTTGCCATATTTCCATATATGTTCTGAAAGCATTAATGAAAAAAACGTTT